ACTATACGTAAGCAGATATTAAAGTTATTCAGTTTACTACAAAAATTTTGGATTTCTTCCTCATTTATACATCAAACGTACATCAACGTTACATTTTAGCTTGGCTTAGCGAGCCACGAAATGGAGCTCAGAAGCAGGGAGGCTTGAACCTAGAATGCAATGCGGCACCATTACTCATGCACTTGCTACCATTTACATTTTGGCGGAGTGGGAGTTTTCTGCAGGAATTTACCAGATATCTCTGGGTACAGTGTGCAGTACCACTACCAGTTGCCAAAATTATCATTCGAACAAGCGAACAATTAGCTACTCATAGATACCTACACGGAGGTGGCTGGAGAATCGGCAGCCCGGATATCGCGCAAAGCGCGAAAAACGCAGCGTAGCGGCACACTAACACAACTACGCTGCACTGATTGAATAGCAATTCCAACGGGTCCACTATAGATGCAAAAGCCATGCAATCGCTGAATTGAGCAGTTCTGGCCATTGCACGATGGGTTTGACTACCCAGGGGGTAGATTCATCAAGCTGCGTACGCAAAATATTTTGCGTAAAGCTTGTGTACGCAATCGACGTTGCTTAGTTGCGATTCATCAACACAGCTATATTAGCTAATTGCGTACGATTCGCGTACGCAAGCGAGGCCGTTTTAGGTGCGATTCATCAAGCTAAAATTTACACGTAAACCTTTGCGAACTTTACACGAGCTGACGAGTGCCGTAAACCACTCGAAATTTCCGCAAGGTGTTTCCAGCATACCGCAGCATACATTATTTTATTGAGAAAACATTATAAATTGACTACTCAACTAAAAAATTAATAAATAATTACCATACTACACAGACAGGCGGCGCCTTTGACGCTCTTTTGTCATAGCTTGGCATTGTTTTGCATTATAAGCGAGTTCGTAGTTAGCCGCCCTGTACGTGCACACGCCCGCACGTGTACGTGCACACGCACGCGCGTGTACACGCACGCACGTTTACGTGTACACGCACGCACGTGTACGTGCCACACGCCACGCACACGTGCACAAGCACGCATGCACGGTGTACGTGCACACGCACGCACGCGCTGTACGTACACACGCACGCACGCACGCACGTACGTGTACTGCCACACACACATGCACCTGCACGTGCACATGCACCGCCGTACGCACGTGCACACGCACGGAACGCACGTGTACGTACACACGCACGCAACGCCACCGTGTACGGACCACGCCCACGCATACACGCAACGCACGCACGTGTACGTACACACGCACAGCACGACGTGTACGTACACACGCACGCCACGCCACGCACAACGCTGCCCCACAATCAGCCACGCCACGTCTACGTTGCACACGCACGCACGCCCGTGCTACGTTACACACGCACGCACGTGTACGCTGCCACAAGCACGTACGTGTACGTTTGCACACAGCACGCCCACGCAGTGCACATGCCACGCCGACGCCGCACGTGTACGCTGCCACACGCACGCACGCCGCGGCCGTGTACATACAAACTCACGCACGCACGCACGTGTACGTGCACACGCACGCACGCCACGTGTACGTGCACACACACGTGCACATCACGCACGCGGCGCACGTGTACGTTCCACACGCACGCACGCACGTGTGACGTACACACGCACGCACCGCACGCCGTGTACGTACACACGCACGCACGCCCGATGTACGTACACACGCACGCACGCACCGTGTACGTGCCAACACGCACCGCAAACGCACGTGTACGTGCACACACACGCACGCACACGTGCACATGCACGCACGCACGCACGCACGCACGTGTACGTGCACACGCACGCAGCCACGCACGCACGCACGTGTACGTACACACGCACGCACGCATGTGTACGTGTCGCTGCTTTCACGAGTGTTGAACGCAATCATACAAACGAAAATGTGGACACTATCACATCCCCCAGCACTCATGTAGACAGAGAGGCGTCAGTTTGGTTCCTATCGGTATGTGTCGCACAGTGTGATTGGTTTATGCTAGGCACGCCTCTCAACAGCCAGCAGCCACGATGGCGTAGTGGATTTACACTGGAATTCATCAACATTTGCGTACGCAGGTGCTACGCTGCGTTGATGAATCGCACCTACGAGCTTTGCGTACGTACTTCGTAGAAACTCGGTGTACGCAATACACTTTACGCAACGTTGATGAATCCGGCCCCAGGTCGCTAGACATTTCCTAGAAATTTGCCTCGAAAATTCCTCGGCGCACTTTGTTTGCTGTAAAAAACGGAGTTTAACTTTTTTGTTGACATGACTCTACATCAGTGTACATCAGTGTAGTACATATGGCGTGCGTTAGATGGCGCATCGAGGCTATATGCATAGAAGACTGGTACCCGTTCGCCACCTCACTCCGGCATATATCCTTCGCTACACTGACGTAGTGTAGCGCGCTACACTGACGTAGTGTAGCGTGTCAAACTCTCGACCGGGTACTACCCGCGTATAAGAACATAGATTTTAAGAACATGTTAGGCTAAAATTTCCCATTTAGACCCCTTTACATAAGAACCTGTTTTAGGCTAAGATTTTAAAGTAGGTTCTTAATTTTCCATGCAGATGAAGACTTAAAAAGAAACACAGGTAAAATAAAAAAGACGAGCTCAACAATATCGATGCAATAACAATGCCAATGCTCAACAATAACAATGCCAGCACCCTGGCATTGTTCTTGAGACACAGTACTGCATTATTTACATATACAGTAAAAACCCGCATAAAAGAACACGTCGATTAAGAACACTCAGGCTGAAATGCGGTCAAAAAATTGCATATACATAAGAACATATTCAGCCTGAAAAATAAAAATTGTTCTTATATAAAAAAAAAATTAGGGTACATTTAGCAACTGTTTTTAGAATTGGCTAATTGATGTATAAACTAAATGACTCTTACCTTCTGTCAATCACATTTTTACTAAGGCTGAAGGGGTCGTTGTCGTATCAGGTACTACAGATATGTACCCGAGGTACATAGATATGTATACACAAAGTGTACCAGACTTGTACTACAGAAGTGTACCCTAACCCTAACCCTAACCCTAAACACACCTCATATAAAAATATAAACATAATACTAAACAACCTAAAACTATCTCGGGTACATATCTGTAGTACCTGACATGACAACGACCCCATCTGCTTTACTAAGTGTACAGTAGGCTACTAAGTACATACAGCATACATATATAGCATACAGCATATTATTATAAGCATACAGTACGAAGAATTTATGTGCTAGGCATTGCACATATAGAGTTTCGCAGCAGGTACATGGGAATTTCCAGGGTACATTTAGCAACTGTTTTTAGACTTGGCTAATTGATGTATAAACTAAATGACTCTTACCTTCTGTCAATCACATTTTTAATTTGCTGCAGACACAACGTTAACATGCTGACATTAAATTTATTAATTTTACAACTCCGAACTCCTGACCTTTCAGTTGAACTGTTCTAGTTTTCATGGTAAATCAAACACATTTTCGTAGGTCACTGATTTTCCAATCTGACCCTTCTTTCTCATGTTTCTTCTGTAACCTTGTAATCAGCTTTCTCAAGTAGAGCATTCCCAACAATTTAAAGTCTATAGTCAACTGGAAGCTCAAGTCCTTTACCTTGGCCTGTGTTAAATCTACTGCCAATACATTCCGCCTCAATTTGCCCATATGCTCTGACAAAAACATATGAAAAATCTCGGATAGTTCGATTGGTAAGTGTCCAACAATCTTCTCGTCTTTATTTCTTACGGCCAATGCATAACTGTCATGGTCATTCTCCGGTTCCATCTCGCAGTCCATAACTTCCCCAATATACACCGTTGAATCTTTAAAATAGGCATGGTACCCACGCACGCTTGCCTGAACATAGACTTCGTATTCATCTGCCATTTTATACTTATAGTTTGATTTGTGCCGAAAGCTGACTTTCCCCAAGAGAAATTCAAGATGGAAGCTTCACTTTCCCTCACGCACTCGGCAGTTAGATGCGATATTGTATGACTACTAGGCACTTTAATTTAATTTAATTTTTTTTAAATAAAAAAAAGTTAGGGTTAGGGTTAGGTTAGGGTTAGGGTTTAGGTTAGGTTAGGGTTAGGGTAGGGTTTTTTTTTTTTTTAAAGTGCCTAGTAGTCATATCCTAAGTGCCTAGTAGTCATATCCTAAGTGCCTAGTAGTCATATAATATCGCATCTAACTGCCGGGTGCTTCCCTCACTCGAAATGCCTTTTGGGTAATTTGGGCGTGCAAGGTATTATGGGATCGGGAAAAAGAAGTGACTCTCGTTGGAATTTTGATGAGTTGTGGAAGATGAATCGTACTTTATTCGATTGTGGTTTACGAAAATCAGTAGAGTTGAAGGATGGCAGACTGTATGACATTACAACAACATTGGAAAAGACAGTTAAACTGAGCAGCGCCACAGTTAAATGCAAACACTGCGACAGATCGTTCACAGGTCAACAATATCTGGACACCCATGTACAATTCAAACAACCAGCTTCTGCTGAACAGAACTCGAACAGCAATGGCTCAGAATCTAGGAATGCATCGACTATTGTTGCAATCTTCTGGATGAAGCGTTGAAGTTGGTGAAGCTTTAAGACGAAACGTGAGCTCTAAAAAATCGACTACAGTATTTGAAAGCAAGAAGGCGGTCAGTCTTTCAAAAAATTTGCACAAGGGAGAGATAGTGATCCGCTAGGGGACGGCTCTGATTGGCTAATTTTATCTCATATTTATTTTTTATTATTTTTGGCTAATTTTGTTTTATTTTAGAATTAGGGATAGGTTTAGGATTAGGGTTAGGGTTAGGGTTAACTGATTTCTATATCCACAACACACTAATAATGCGCCATTTAGCGGATCACTATCTCTCCCCTGTAACCACCTAGTTACCAAAACAAACAAGCAACGCTTACAGTTCGACTTTGGCAATGTCCAGGAATGCTACAAGAAAATGAATCGAACTTTATTTGACTGTGGGATCAAGAGAGAAGTGGAAACGAGGAACGGTCGATTGTTGGATGTTACAGCAACATTACCAAAGTCCATTGAGTTGCCCAAGAAACATGTTAAATGTGAGATTTGCAATGGATTGTTCACGGCAGAAAAGTACCTTCGAACCCACGTTCGATTCAAGCATAACTCTAATCTATTCAACCTTGGCAAAGATTCGTCGTTCTGTAATAACCATGTCGATAGTGGTTTATCGAAGAGTACCGAGTTGCATGCGAAAAAGGCAACCAGCAAAGAAGGTGAAGAAACTAACGACGAAATAACTATAGAGACCAAGAGAAATCCCCAGAAACCTGACAACAGACGGGGCCGTAATCAGAGGAAATCCTATAAAGTAGAATTTAAGGTAAAAACTATCGAACTCCTAGATTCCCTCAAAGGAACAAAGACTAAGAAGAAGTGGCAAAAGGTTGCAGAAGAAAGGGGCGTTCAGGGACGTAGCCAGGATTTTGAAAGTTGTAGGCACGACTATCTGAGCGGAGCGCCACCATCGGTTGGCGCGGAGCGTACAAGAAAATTTTTGGTTTTACAAACCCCCAGATGGCCGGAAACGGCCCTTCCCGAGTGTTCATTCTGGTTCCCTGACCTCTTGCTAACTTGAGACAACTAATTCAATATCACTTTTAAACCCAAAAAACACAAACGAGTTAAAATAGTGTTACGAACGAGTTAAAATGTTAAAAAACGGACAAGAATGGATCCTAGTCTTTTTCGGCGGGTAGAGTAGTTTCTTGCTACGTTCATTTCAATAGTTTTTCCTGCCTAGACTCTTAAACTCGTCCAGCAAGCTTATGGATTTGAATTATGGGTGTTTAAAAAAAAAAGATAACTTAATTGGCCAAAAAAAGTGTAGGCCCGGGCCTACAGTGCTACATACTGGCTACGCCCCTGGCGTTAGTACGTCGCTTGTAATAAAGTGGAACAAGAACAGAGACAAATTGCGGGCGGAACTTGACCTCAACAAGAGGAAGAAAAACGCAGGAGGTGTGAAGGCGGCACGACAAAGGAGGAAACTTGTGCACGAGAAAGCACAGAAAAGCGAGAAGTATCCATTAGCTGCCCAGCGTCTAATGGTTGAATTCAAGCTTCGCAGAGCCAACGGCTGTAAAGTATCAAAGCTTTGGCTAAAACAGAAGATGAAAGCAAATATTGAGCTATGTTATGGAAAAGAAGAGGCTGCTAAATTCAGAGGAAGCAGCAACTGGTTTCAAAGATTTAAGAAGCGCCACAACATTTCGTTTCGACACAGATCAAACAAGAAGCAGAATTCTGCAGATGATGGGCGTGAAACCATTCAAAGATTTCACCGAAATTTGCGAAAGGCGGTAAAGTCGAGGAGAAGGCGAAGTAGTTCAACTTTGGATGCTAAATATGGGCGTTGGTCTCCAGAGAATAGATATAACATTGATCAAGTCCCCCTCCCTTTCGTGGTTGATCAGGATAAAACCTATGATGTCACAGGCAACAAGCAGGTGTGGGTTTCTCAGCCCTCAACTGGTCTGGATAAGAGGCAGGCCACTCTTCAGCTTTGTATACGGGCAGAAGGGGAACAGCGTGTGAAGCCAGCTATTGTGTTTAGGGGTAAAGGCAACGTGTCTAGTGCTGTAAGAGCAGAGTATGATAGAGACGTGGATGTGTATTTCCAGAGATGTGCTTGGATGGACTCTGAAATAAACATGCAATGGGTATCTGGAACTTTACTACCTGGAGTAGGCAACTCACCAAACGAGAAAGTAATTTTCGCTGACAATGTTGGATTTCAGCAGGTAAAGCAATTTCATGAGGCCTGCAGGGAGGAAATAAATGCTATTGTCTATCTCCTGCCAGAGAACCAAACTGACAAGGTACAGCCTATAGATGCTGGGTATGGGAAATTGATAAAGTCTAAAGTAGGAGAGGCAATGGAAGGGTGGTTGGAGAAAGAGGCTAATTTAGAGGAATGGCATGATAAATTAAGTGCCAAAAGAAGACGGATTCTCATGACACAGTGGACTGCTCAGGCTTGGAGGGAACTCTCAACTAATAAAGGCCTATGCAAGAAACTGTTTGAGAAAACTGGCTGCCTTATGACAGCCGATGGTTCAAATGATGACCAGATCAGGCCACAGGGACTAGAATCCTATGTGTTTTATAAAAACAAACACATTTACAGTTGATTAAATTGCTATTAATAAAAGCTAAAATTAAATTGCAATTTAATCAACTGTAAATGTGTTTGTTTTTGACTTTCGGGGCTGGAATAAATTTTCGAGATCTAGCCTTACTATTTATTTTCTGACACACACTATAACAATTTAACAGTAAGTCTAGATAAACAGTCTAGATAAATAGTCTAGAAAATCTAGAAAATCAATAGTAAATCTACATCTCGAAAATTTCAGTTTGATGCTTTTAAAATTATTGTAAATGTTAACATAATCGCGAGCGTGCAATATAACTTTTTTTTGCGCGCTTTTTTACACGGTTTAGCGTGCATTATAACAACAACAACGGCGTGTCACGTGACGCGTTTTGACCAATCATGATGCATAAAATATCCGAGCCATTTTATAATGCGTTATAATAGGATGTAGTGATCGACATCGAATGGGGAAAGGTGTTTCATTTCATAGAATACCTAGTAAATCAAAATATCCAGTGAAACACAATCTAGTAATAGTATTATATAGATGATAGCTCTAGTACTATATATAGTATAGGCATAGCCCGCGTACAGTGACTGCCGCAATGACTGCCTGCGGCAGTCACTGTACGCGGGCTATAGTAATAGATGAAAGCAATACTACCCTGTTTCATGTTATATTAGATTATTACTATTAGGCAAGTGCATGATGTGAAATTACATATTTAACTTGTTACCACCATTCGTTCCGCACATATAATAGTTTGCCGACTTGGAAATTTTGGCCAGCAAGTTAGCATTTTTGATCCATTGGTCTGACAAGCAAGATGTTCAGTGTACATTACCAAAATTGTTTAGGGGGTCACGTTATTCAGATGCTAGAGTAATCATTGATTGTGCCGAGGTGTTTATTGAGCGCACTTGCATGGCAACCTAACTAGTCGTGCCTAGACATGGTCAAATCACAAGCACAATAACACTTTCAAAATCTTTGTGCAAATTGTGGGTATATATATCTCCAACTGGGTTGGTGATTTTTATGTCACGTGTATGTGGTGGTCGAACATCCGACAATGTAATCACACAGAGATTATGATTTTCGGATCTTATTGAGTATCGTGACTTAGTGTTAGCTAACGGGGGGTTTCTTATAAGTGAGGATTCAGCAGCAAGAAATGCATCCCTTTTAATATTAGCATTTACTCGCGGCCATGCAGAAACAGTCGAGTCAGAGAGACGTCGAAAAAACGAGAAAGCTTGCTGGCATCTGTATCCACGTTGGACGTGCGATTGAGCGAATCAAACATGTCAAAGTCCTCATCACCATCATGTCAATGAATATGTTTCCCCATGCTGACAACATCATCACTATTTGCTCTGCCACTGTTAATTTGCATCCTTGATTCACTCGGGCATTCCTCCGCAGAAAAGGATAGGGAGACTTTGTAACCCTAGGTATCCTCTTGGGTTTGGGTTACATTATTGTATCTATGTTACTGTATGTGCGCAGCGTCGCAGCGACACGGTAGGCGGCGGGGATTTAGGCAAAAATTCCACAGAGTCAACATTCCGGGAAAAAAATTACAACTTTCGCATCATCAGATTTCCATAAAATTTCACCAAAAACAAGTTAAGATGTTAAAGAAATGATGCAGATACTTTTTTAGGAGATGCAAAACTTGCAATCTGTATTAAACAGTCCCTCAATATAAGTCTAACTTTAAAGTAGCTCGTACGATCATCAAACGTAGCAGAATTTCGAATTTTTTTTAAAGATGGTCGGCCGAGTCCTCAATGCTCTCATAGTTATGACGTAGTGGGGAAAACACCATAGAACCAATCAGAACCCTCTCTTTTACTAGGGGGTGCCCCTCCGTCCTCGTAATTGCTGGCGCAGTCACACTGTTACTTTTCAAGCTGCGCTGCGCACTACATTGTCACGTTCCTAATCAGTGTGTGCGGTTCAAGGATAGAGAACATGGGTTCCAATAAAACCAATGTCATTTACATCAATATAAATATAATATTATATCAATATAATAGGTCAGGATTATGGTTAGGGTTAGGATTAGGGTTAGGGTTAATTTAGAATTAGGGTTAGGGTTAGGTTTAGGCACATTGGTTTTATTGGGACCCCTGTTCTCTATCATTGGGCCGTGTGTGCAGTGTGCCAGTGATGCTGGCACTGCGAATTGATTGATATTTCAATATATGCGGCCCTTGACGCCTAGATCCATTACCTTAACCCAACACGCGTCCATTAGATGTATACGTTCATTTGCTAGTTACGTACTACTAGCACGTTACGTATAATAGCCTAGGTATATATGCTTATAAAATACGCATTCACGATATTGCCAGTGGCAGTAGTGAAGCAGATGATGCTCATTGATAAACAAAAGACCATTCACGTGAGAGAGTCTGCTATTCCAATTTATTTTGTTAAATTAGTAAATTATTTGTCACGCAGCAACACAGTTGATATCGGCTTTCTCCCACATAGAACTTTATATTAAATCATTGTTTTTTGATAAAATAAAAATATATAATTACTAAAATAATATAATACGTGACAAGTGAAGCAGACGCTAATGCTCGCGCTACCACTTTCTTCCCATCGTGGTACAACTTCCATATCATATGAGTGAAGTGTTAGGTTTAGGTGTTTCGTAATTAAGATTTCGTTAGTAACACTCGATCGTCACATAGCTAGTTTATTAGCCTTCAAAATGCCACCAAAGAAAAAAGATACTGGTCCAAGCAAAAAGACAGTGGAGAAAAAGAAAGAACGTGTTATTGAGGTATAGAGTAGACTATTGAGTATTGTCCCATTGACCATTGTCGAGACTATAGTATAGTCTATAGACCATAGTATTGAAATTGAGTATTGAGTATTGTCACTATACTATACTATAGCTATAGCGGCAGCTAGTAATAGTATATTACTTATTAGTATTATATACATGTACTGTAGTATATATATTATATACCGGTATACTAATTACTATTATAATATATACTCATATGGGTTCAAGGATCATATAAATATTATATATTTATATATAAAATATGATTTATATGATTTATATGATATATATATATATATATTATTATATATATATATATATAATATTTATACCAATATATTAATATATATTAAATATAGTATATTAATATATTAGTATATTAGTAATATTAGTATTATAGCTGCTATAATACCAGGAGTGTATCAATA